GGCCGCCAGCAGCGGAGTGCGCACACTTAACCGCTAAGCCACGAGGCAGGCCCAGAACACTCAGTCTTGATAGCTACCACATGACTGCCTCACTGAGTACTCATGAGATCGGGTATCGGGATCATGGAGAGAACTCACCTCTCGTTTGATAGGCTCTCCTTCACAGTGGATCACTGTGTCTGGAGCAACAATGCAGTAAGGGCTGGGATCTGTCTCCACTACTTTGAACTCTACAGCACGCATTCCACCCCGGACAAGGAAAATGTCTCCTGTGAGAGCAATCAGCACAAGGACAGTTAGAGGCGTCACCTGCAAGACCACATGAGAATTCCTCATCAGAACATAGGGTCTAGAATGCCAAGTTCACTAAACATTGCCCTTTCTCCTTCCCACCATCTTATTAAGCATTAGGTAAGAGGAGAAAGCTAAACTGTAATGAGTCCCTCTGCCACTTAGAGAATAGTGAACAAAACCTGATGTGCCATAAGTCCATAAGGCTTTTGACTTCTGGGGTATAGGTAAACCAAGTTTTCACAACCACCACCAACGGTAGAGCTGTGCTAAATATTAAATACACTTTGGACTGTGACACAGCCAAAACGGCACACCTCCTCCTTCAGAGATACAAAAGAAGATAGCTTACTCTACGGGACCAGGGAGTGGGAATGGGAGAACAGCAGGGGGAGGGAGGAATGCAGAAGGAGAGAGTACACATGAGCACGTGTGCAGAATGCGTGCGTATACACACATATTTGAGAATGAGACAAAGATGTTCCAAGGTTTACTCCTGAGTATCCCTACAAACAACCACCTTTTTTTTTTTTTGCTGAGGAAGACTGGCCCTGGGCTAACATCCATGCCAATCTTCCTCTACTTTATATGGGATGCCGCCACAGCATGGCCTGACAAGCGGTGCATCAGTGCACGCCCAGGATCTGAACCCAGGCCGTCAGCAGCGCGGCACGTGCACTTAACCGCTACGCCACGGGGCCGGCCCCCAAACAACCATCCTTAAACTCAGTCCCTAGAATTATCTCTTACCTTTCCGGATGGGTCGATAAGCTTCCAGGAAGTACGGCTTAAGATATACCTCAAAGAGATTGCCAGTGATGCCTTCCACCGTGTCATCGATGGGTAGCACGTGGATACGTTTGCCGTACTTCACATCAGGGCATGGCTGGATGCTGAGGATGACAAGCAGACTCCACATTACCAACCACACTGCAGCCCCAAGCATCGGGCATCCGAAAGGGCCTGGCACAGGGAGCTGATGGCGAGCGAAAGAAAAAAGGCAGGGATGGCTTTAGGTGAAGAGAGGCAGGAGGGTAGGATGGGAGTGAGGGAAAAGGAACAGCCAAGCAGAACTAAAAAAGGTCATACTCAGGGTGGGGTAATAGGGGGAGCCAATAGAAGAAGCTGCTGGGGCTGCCCACTCCCAACAGTGAGCCAAAAGAAAGACCCACACATCTGGAACCCCCACAAAGACGACACGGGAAGGAGGGTCTTCAGTGAGAGATATTCAAGGATGACCCATTTTGCCTAATATTGGTGACCCAATATTACAAAGGGAGGCCTTAGTCTGACAAGTGTCAGGGTCAGAGAAATAGAAGTGAAAAAATAACCTTAGCCAGGTGATCAGAGCACCACCTGGGAGAAAGTAACTGTTGAGAAAGTAACTAAGCACCTCCAGAAAGGTTACGTGGAACCTAGAATCCATGAAAAAGAATCAGAAGCGGGCCGGCCCCGTGGCTTGGTGGTTAAGTGAGCGCGCTCCACTGCTGGCGACCCGGGTTCGGATCCCGGGCTCGCACCGACGCGCTGCTTCTC